GCCACAAATAAGCACAAACAATTTTTTTTTTTTGACTGACCACACAGTTGTTTTTATGAGCTGGCCTTCTATTAGATCCTCCAGAAAAACGCGGGCAAAAATCCTTGATTATGCGGGCCAAAATCCTTGATTTTGCGGGATAAAATCCTTGATTATGCGATTAAACATGCAGGGTGTTTATGTGATTTTATGAGGTGAAATTGGGTGAAGTTGCGAAATATGCGGAAAGTTGCGAAAAATAATAGATTTTTTTTAAAATATTGGGCTGTCTTATTTATTCTCTCTCACACACAACCTGCCACTAACGTTAAACCCCTTTCCTATTCAATTAAACACATTCAATGTTTATGTATTGTGCAATCTCACGCCGGTCCATCATCACAGAGTGGGCCCTGCAGACTTCCATTTATAACAGGGAGATTATAAGGATACATTATTCTCCAGACCCGCTGGGTTTCATCAAACTTGTTTGCATGACTGCTTTTGAAAGTTCAAGGCATATGTTCATGTACAGTATAACAGAGGCTAAGATTTACTGTAACACATTATGTGCTTGATCAATATTATGTGATGCGTTTCATCTAAGTGTTTGGAAAGACATTAAAAACAACATACTTTGTAGTAAAGTTTTTTTTATAAAATATTCATATAATAAGTCATTGTTGTAGCTTTTCAGCCCACGTGTTAACTTCTTGAGTCACTCGTGTTTCTCGTCACTGTCAAATTCAGCAGCTGTGGGGTTTTTACGCAAAGACCTTTACAATTCTAATATGTGCACCTACCACCATTGGGCTGTCGGAGTTAAGAGTTTTTTTGTTGTTGAATTGTTGTCGCAATTCAGATGGTTGTTTGCAAAATGCAATGTTATAAGTGTACACTACTGCACTTTGTCTAAAATGAACATTTTAAATAAAGTGAGGGGGATACAAATTACTGAGTTGTAGTCATTTGAATTACTTATATTGATAGAGCAATTTGGATTAAAGTATATTGAGTGCAAATAACACAATCCTACAACATAAATGGAACTAATTTGTGTTAAGTAATTACAACCTAACTGTGTTAGGTAAATCAGTGCACACTTTAAGTAAATACAACATAATTGGGTTAAGCAAATACAACATAACTGTATGATGTAGAATTTAATTAAGATGCTTAGGTAAGATTGACTTAAATGCAAGAAGCAAATATTAGTTTACTAGTCTGAATCCTATTTACTTAGCCTTGTTACGTGCAACCGGTTGACATAACTGGATTAAGTAAATCTAACATTTCATTTCTTTGAGTGTTGCTCAAAGGGCGCCCTGTCAGCGCCCTGGCCTGTGTGTCTGTTTAGACTCGTATCCAAGGTGACGCTACAGTAGGGGATGGCTGCGTCTGCAGGTGTAGACTCCGGTGCTAGTGGATCGCCGGAGCTGTAGATTAACATTTGCATGCTTATTGTAGTTGTAAGGGCAATGCCNTGCGATCTGATCCAAATATATTTAAATTCAAATCTGTCATCAAATTGTGTGAAGCACAGGTGAGAGCAGGACTGTGTTTTTCATGCATACTTAATAATACCTTTTTACAGTAGATTCAAACAGGCACAACAGAACACACAGAGTAATTCATTAAGACATTTATTCTTTCTTTAAAATAAAGTGATTACATATATTGTTATACCATAACATGATTATACAACATTAACTAATAATATAAGATCCATTATATTAGAACTAGTTTGTGAA